ATACATGGGAAAGGGGGGGACGCCACACGGACTCTGGCGAGGGAACACGTGTGCATGCAACATGCACACATTCTGGCTCCGCCTACGAGAACCGCCAGGTGGTACCTCCGCGTTCGATAGTCAGAGACCATCTACCACCTACGGACAATCACAACATCCATAGCCAAGAGAAAAATTTCTCCTGGGGGACTTGAACCCGCACAGCGCACGGCGACTGATCAGGAGACCGAAAAGTCTACTACTGCGGCCACCGCTGCTGCCTAAACTACTAGGTACTAATAAATCTATCTCGTTCTCAGTTCCAATGGTTTAGAGGTAACCTCGTAATCACGAGAATGATTGTTATTTTTGTATGACGAATATTAAAGGAATTTCCAGTAAAACCAATCGTAGCATTCAGTATCGCAATATTCCCTCTGCAGTGCGACCAGTGCCCCATGACAACTCATTACCCATTCCGCAACCACCTAAAAGTTAAACGCTTGATTCGGAATCATACATCACCAAGCTACATTCCTGGTTCTCAAGATTAGCTTGATATAACTTATTTGAGGTGAATTGAATGACCTTGTTTGTGAACAAAAGCGGAAGTCCTCGGATCCCTCCTGCAGCAGTGGAACCTCTTGGAAAAAGGTGATAAGGTGTCCATCTACAGGAAAAAGCAATCTACTCTCACACTACCTAAACTAATCGTTAATAAGGGGGTTCTTATTGAATTTTTCTTAATATCAAAGCATATGTCGCTCTCTCATCATTGGAGGCTGATATCGAAGTCATAGCTATATGTCTGTAATTATAAAGGTCGGTCCTACGAGCCCCTTCTCACTTCAGTTGGCCCACTTCAAGATTTGTACCAAAATATGCCTTTATAAACTAAACATGATGAAACTATCTACTTCTAAAACAATTTATTTTCTCAAAAACACTTTAGATACACTCTAGTCGTAAAAAATACATATTTAAAATCACTTAGACCTATAACTAATAGAACATCTGAACAAATACACAATGTGCGAAAAGTGCGCGAAGTTAACAAAGCAACAATTGAAAGATTAAAATTGGGTAACATCACCTTTATTTTTTATTACGGCTGAAATTCGTTGGGGCATAGTGTTAACCAAGTTTTGGCAAAAATTTTGTGTAAAACAATCCCATATTTCTTGAAGCTTTTGTCTCAGTTCGGTGATTGTACGAACAGTATGTTGTCGTAGAACCTTTTTCATCTCGTGCCACAAAGTTTCAATAGGTGGCAGATCTGGACTGCTAGAAACCCATTTCAAAAGTGGTACATTATTTTCTTCCATTCATTCTATAGCCTTTTTTGAGGTATGGCCACGCTGCACCATCTTGCTGAAACACAAAATTTTGGCCGGATGTCAAACATTCTTCCATCACTGGTAAAAGTGATTCTTCTAATATTGGCAAATATTTATTTGTATCCACATTTCCATCAATAAAATGAAGTTTTCCTACTCCTTTTGATGACATACTGCCCTATACCATAATGGATGCTGGAAATTTCACTTTTCTCTTCATACAGTCAACATGGAATGCTTCATTTTTTTTGCGAGTAACTCTACTGCGACTGTCACAACACAAACTTCGAATCGGGCCTCATCACTCCATTGTATTGCACACTATTGTTGAGGTGTCCATTGTCTATGTCCTTTAGCCCATCTAGTCCGATTTTTCTGTTGCAGTGGAGTTAATAGTGGCTTTTCTTTGGCCTATAAACAAGTTGTGCAACCCCTAAAGTTTTACTTCACTTTTTTTTATAAGAAAACTTAACTTGCAAGTGCTAAATCCCAGTTTGTGGGCCTCTCTATGAGTTGTGGACCTTCCAACAGCGTCACTCCACAGAGCACTTAATTGTAAATAATTGGCACGCCGGTTTTTCACGATCATTCTTCTTAATGCTCTTCGGTCGGCATTTGTGATATTAATTTTTTTCACATATCGTGGCTTAATATTAACTGAACCAGTTACGTTATATCTTCTAACAAAATCTGTCACACTGTACCGCGATAAGTCTAAAAAAGTTTCAATTTCTGAGTTTGATTTCCCAGAATTAAAAAAATTAATTATCAGTAACCGAATTTTCTCACTAATAACCTTTTCTCTACCCATTTTGAATACCTTAACTACCCAAAACTATTTCAAACGTATTCTGACAACTGTGATTAACAAAAATAATTGACATGGCTTTTATTTTTCACAGCCACCTATGCGTTATAGACTTATTTTGCATTGAAATGAAAAGAGGTTGATATGCTGTAATTGCAACATGAGTTATTTTTATGCTGCAAATTTGATTAGGGAGTGATAGAGTTGGTGTTTTCTACTATATATATTATCAAAATATTCATTGTTAATATTTTAAACCTATAACACAATGCTACATTTTTATTATTTGTGTTTGATAAGAAAAAAAACTAAGATTTCAATAGTTCGGCCAACTGAAGTGGGAAGGGGCTCGTAGATCACTTCTGAGATGGGCTGGACATGAGCAAATTTCCAGTTCTCTTTACAGGAAACGAAGGTCTTCAGGTTCATTCAGGCCCTCCATTATCATTACGATGCACGAGTTTCTCATACCTTCAATAACCTCAATGAATTTTGAACGGAGGTCTTTTGTCACTATTCCAAAATACCCAAACAAGGGAAACGTTCTATGAGGGCTTGCTTTTGAGAATCTGAAAAGCGACAAGAACTTGTCTTCGAAATTCAAAAAGATATTGGTACTGGAACAACACGAAAGAAATATTAGTTATCTATTAAAAATTATTATTTTGCTGCTATCAAACTATACACAAGTCGATTTCAATGTTTCACGCACCGATAGGCAGAGAGAGGGTATCTACAGCTAAGATGAAACAAAAAAAAATGCTCCCAAAGTTCATACCTCCGATTCAGACTCATCAAATAAGTATGTAGGATTTTATAAAGATTATTGTATGTTACGGTCAAGAAACCTTTAAATGAGCGGAGAAAAGGACACTGACTTCTAGGTATCAATAACCAAATATGCCCGAAAATTTCAGATACCCCCATAGTGCTTTGCACAGAAAAGATAGAATATCATTTTCAAAATATTTTGCAATCCCAAAATTTCCTTGTAGTTGGGAAGTGGAGACGAGATATGCGTAGGTTTTTAAATACATATAGGTGTACATATGTCATTGATATGCTAATTGTTGCTTTCTGTCTATGAAAACCCTGTTCAAAATATCACGAACCGACACTGGTTGCCCAGCTACATGCTCATAAAGATGCGGTCGGAAATTCCATGAGAAAAGCTCTGGAAAGGATGCGAGGGTTGGAAGTCCTGCTCGAACAAATAATTTTTCAGAAGTACTTGATACACCGTCAGTAGCTTTCGCAACGTATGCCAAATCACCTCTACAGGTAAATTTTCGATACCTTGTGTTACAATTATCGTCACATTTCAGCTAATTTACAAAATAACGAATAGCGAAAATCCATTCGATAGTTTTTTTTAGTCTAGTGCGTTCAAATAGATAAGGGGGTAACTTAGTAACGTGTAGTGATAGTGATTTTCGTAGCCGTCTCAAGATAGAATACATTCATCAAATATGTCTAAAACTTGCGAAGTATTACCAAGGCTAAAAGCTTATACATATACTACAGTAAAAAATTCTCGCCCGAACTCTGGAAAATCTACACCACCCAATTTTATCCTCCTACCTAAAAGTATTAAGCTTCAGCGGATTTTATTTATTTTTTCTATTTTGTGTCTATAGCTCCGCCGTCGGTGGATCGATTTTCAAAGACTCACAAAGCCTTGCGATTGTGATAATGAAAAAAAAACAAACGAGCGGTCACCTGAAAGACAGATAAATCAAATATATGTCATTGTACTGAAGAAAATCATTATTGTGAACGTTTATTATTATTTATATATGCTTTTATTGGCCAAACAAGCCTAGGGGCTTAACTACCAAGCCTTCTTGTCGCTGGCATAAGAACAATATTGTGTCAAAATTTCATAAAAATCTGAATGCTACTTTCAAAGAAATGAATGGGCCAAGGATTAGTGGACAGACACACAGACAAGCAGCTCGACAGACACAAGGGTCCTAGTTTTTTATGATTTGTATGTTATGAGTAAAGACCGGATTTTAAGCAATTTTGCTTATACGCCAATTTGTAAGCAGTATATAAGTAATGCCGTTTTAAGTACAAAGTAAATAAAAAAAACTATTAGTTTTTCAAAAAAAAGTGCTTTTTTTGCTTTTTTTCTTAATTTCAAGCTTATTTTCTAAATTTGCGCTTATTTTGAACTTTTTTCTTTAAATATCTTATTTTTTTCTACCTATTCAAAGGCTTAACCAAAAGTGCTCCTCAAACTGGGACGGACGCGACGCGACACGTCAGAGATATGGAGTGGGGGAGAATAACTATTTCGATGCGCGAACGAACTAATCATAAATTTCGCCATTTTCTAGTAAAAACTTGTCTGGGAGTGTTAAAAAGTAGTCGTTTTGTATAGAAAATTTGTTTACTGTGAGCTTATGGAAGAGCGTCAAAAAGTATCTTTTTAGTTCTTTAATGCTGGTTTTAGTAGAAATACATGTAGGAATTTACAGAATGTCTCGTTGATTCGAACCGAAGTCACTAAAGTACACAAAGTTTTATCACTTCACATTGTTAAAAATTTCATTAAGAACAGAGTTGCCTAGAAAATGGCGGTCCCTTGAAATGATGCACACTCTTCGAAACTCATTCTCCCTTCTCCATTTCTCTGGTGAAACCCCGATCAGTGTTTGTGTGTTCGTGCAATTCTAAAAATAGATGTGCGATACGCAATTCTAGGCTGCTAGTAGGGTGCTCATGGTTAAGATATTTTAAATAAATAACAGATCGTATACCGTGTCACCGATCCTCCAAGTACAAGTGAATAATTGAATAATTTTTTGTGGTGACCTAATACTGTGCGTAAATAATCAAAGATGTCAAAAGTAAATTATACTAACCTCAAGGTCTGGATCAAGGATAACCCGGAATTAAAAATTGAAAATGGAAAAGTATTTTGTCAAGCTTGCATAAAAACGGTAAGTTTTTCATAACATTAGGTATACCGGATGATTATTGATTATGATTAGTCCTAGAGCACATAGAAAATCCCATATTAATCCTACCTACCAAACTTGAATGCATTCTGCTTAGTGTTGTAAAATGTTCGAGCATTTTTTTTCGAGAACGTTCCTCGAGCACGAACGAAAATTTTCAGTACATACGAGTATAAATGAAGAAAAATAAAACAAAGGAAACATATTAGGAAAATATCTGAAATCAAAAAAGTCTGCGCTCTAATTGTGCTCTATTTATTAAGTTAAAAATAATATCAATCCACTTATCTCTTAAAACACTTATGCAATCTCTTAAAATTCAAAGCATAAAATAAACCGATCTGTAAATCCCCGAAAACCAACACTGTCAGATGTCATTGGTGTCAACGATCGACGACAGCCAACCTAATGCGAGGTGATCCGGTGTTGCAACGTCTCGTTGCTAAAGGACCGTTCATACCTAATGTTAACGCTAATGCTATGGGAACGTTAAAATTCTTGGGGTTCGGATTTATGCTCTTGAAAATAAATGTCACAAATAAAGTCGCGAACGATCTCTGAGAATAAATGGGAATGTTCCATTGCTCGCAACACTAATTCTGCTAAGCTGTTTTTGTAAAAAATATATTGTTAATCTAACCAATGTCAAAGGTAAGCTGTCATTGATTTCGATAGTTACTAGTAGCTGCATTCATAAATTAATGATACTCAATTAAAAAAATAATTGCAGTTCAGCCACATTTTGCGAATAGTACAAAAATAGCTGAACTCATGCACACTTTTTATTTATTTGTGCATATTTGTGCATTTGTACAATCATGTTTTTTCTATTTAGACTTTATTTTAGGTAGGTCAAAATTGATTTTAAAAAAAAATATGAATGAGCCCATGTAATCACTAATCAGTTTGGCAGGTATTCTAATCTAACAAAATAAATAATCCAATACTTTAAAAAATTTCATGAGATGAGATTTCCTGTATGTCCTAGGACGATGCATCAGCCATTAATTTTTATACAGGCATCAAGTAAAAACTACTTCATTTATTGTAGATTGTGTGTGTTAAAAAGTACGACGTAGTTCAACACCTGAAAACGAAAGTACACTCGAAACAAATGAAGAAGTATAAAGTTGATAAGCTTAAACAACTAACAATTGGTTCTTCCATGGCATCTGCTTCGGGCCGTAGTGAACAACAAGAATTTAATCAGGATCTCTGCAATGCCATGTTAAAATCAAATATTCCTTTAAACAAGTTGAAAAACACTCACTTTAAAGAATTTTTGGAAAAACACTGCAAACGAAATATACCAGATGAAAGTACTTTACGCAAAAACTATATTTATCCTGTATATCGCGATACAATTCAACAAATTAGAACAATAATTGGAAGCAATTATATATGGTTTACTGTTGATGAAACTACAGACAGTTGTGGGCGGTATATTGCAAACTTAATGATAGGCGTTTTGTGCCACGAGGTTCCTACAAAGGGATATTTAATTAGTTCAAAAGAATTGAGCACAACAAACAGTAACACTGTATCAAAATTTGTACATGAAGGGTTAGCAAACTTCTTTTTGCCAGAAGCTGTAACAAGTGAAAAAGTACTACTTATGCTCTCAGATGCAGCTTCTTACATGGTTAAGGCGTCCACAAACTTGAAAGTTTTTTACGGCAACTTAATTCACTGCACCTGCTTAGCTCATGGGATCAATCGTATTGCCGAAACCATACGCTTACAATTTCCGTTAGTAAATAAGTTGATCAGCAATGGCAAAAAAATATTTGTTAAAGCGCCTTTGAGAGTACAAATGTTTAGAGAACATTGTCCAAATATTCCACTGCCTCCAGAACCAGTGTTAACCAGATGGGGAACATGGCTTGACGCCGCTATATATTATGCAGACCATTTCCAAAATTTTAAAAATTTGATTTTTGAATTTTCCGAAAGCACAAGTAAATCAGTACAAGAGTGTCAGATCGTTCTTAACAATAGAGAGCTCCAAAACAATTTGGCTTTTATCAAAACCAACTTCAGTTGCATTAGCAAAACTATTAAATCATTGGAAAAGCAACAAGTTCCTTTGGTTGATTCAGTTGCTTTAATAGAGGATTTCAAAAACACTATTAATACTGTTCCAGGAAAAATTGGCGGCTTAATTAAAAATAGAATGAGAGAGATTTTTGAAAAAAATATTGGATTTCAGAAACTGGTTCAAATATCGTCAGTTTTAGGTGGCGAAAATGTTCCAGAATTAAATATGTATCCAGATATTATTTCAAAGTTTAAATGCGCTCCTATTACAAGTGTAGACGTGGAAAGGAGCTTTTCAAAGTATAAATATATCTTAGACGTTAAAAGGCATAATTTGACAGTGGAGCATTTGGAACAGTATTTAATAATAAGCTGTTTTCAGAACGATTAAATTATATTTATATTTATTTATCTTATATTTATCTTAAGCTGTTAAAAAGTGTTTAAAGTTTTATTTCTACTGTTTTGAAGTGTTTATTTTGTTTTATTTGTGAATTAAATACATACAAAAATATATTTTGCATTATTTTAAGATCCACTTATATTTGCTTTTTTTACAAAATGTGATGCTTTTTTTTTAAAATATGAAGCTTTTTTAAGCACTTTTTTTGATAATTTTGTGCTTATAAATCCGGTCTTTAGTTATGAGCGAGGAGGTGACACTTCCATAGTAGTTCACAAAGACGTCATGTAACATCTAAAACCATAATATATCATTTTCATAAATGTTTACGATTACTATACTCCCTTTCCAGTTATTGAAATGGTAGAACAGAATAACTGAGAGAAAGTGGGCGTAGTTCTCTTACCTTTCGGGAAAGTGGTATACCTGAACGCTTATACAATAGCCGCACCTCGAATTATCTCGGGATGAGAAATGCGGAGATCTCGCAGTCGTCCATCAGTCTCAATTCTAAGGATGAAGTTAACTTTATGGTGTAACGTTTAATGACATGAAAAACCCAGGAATGTATTATTTTGCCGGAAACGAATGTACTCTCAGACTTGTTTAAAAAACTGCCAGAATCTAATTTAATTCTTCAGGGAAGAGAATCTCTCCCACCTTCCTTCAGTGCTTCTACTTCCGTGATCAAAAATAGGGATCCAGATGGCATGGGTAAAGAAACTACTGATTGTTCTTTAGAGAAATTTTATCCGGTTTCCAAAATCCTGAACACTGCACATAGACTGACTATTTTGACTGAATATTTTTCTTTACAGGATGCCACTCCGATGGACCACCCCATGGCCCACCCTCCTTCTGCCCATAGCCCTGATTCTGACGTCATCACTGAGCACGTGGCGAGTGATAGGTGGTCCTGCCTGCAGGATCAGCGAGTTCCCTTGCAGAAACGGAAAGTGTATAAGACTCAACGGGTACTGCGATGGTACGGATGATTGCGGGGACGTGTCTGATGAGCCGCCGTTTTGTACGGGTAAGTTATTACCCTGATCCGATAACTCCTAATTTTCCTCAATAAAACCATAATTTAAATGCAGTTTATATGAAAGTTGTTTAACAAATCAAGATTTCCGAAATATCCATAATTTCCAATATTTCCAACATTTCTAAGACTTACAAAATTTCCAAATTTTCCTAAATTTACAAAATTTCCGAAATTTACAAAATTTCCAAAGTTTCAGAAACTAGCAAAATTTCCCAAACTTCCGAAATATCCAAAATTACCAGAATTTCTAAAATTTCCAGAATTTCCAAAATGTACCGTTTCCAAAATTTTCGTTCACGCAGTCGTGTTACAAGAATTGTTTGAACCTCAAAGTTTTAAGTGGTCATACGAGCTCCAACTGATCCATGTTCTAAGTTCTGTTCCTTACAAATTAATTATGATCGATATTAATGCATAGGACAACTTAAACAAAATAACAAATTAGGATTCATTCTACAGGCAAGATCGCTTGAGCGTTATTCCACGTGTTGTGTTAGCTATTCAGGTCAAGCACCGGGTCGGACGTCGGATGTAGCTCCTTGAAGCTGCAATGGCTAGATAAATGGCCAAGCTGAATAAATAATGGCCAAGGCAAGTGGGCCGTCTGTCAGTTTACGATCCCCCGCCTTTTTATTTTTCTAATTTAGAGGAAAGCGCCGCCCTGCTGAAGAATTGAACGAATTGATGTCTTGAAACTAAGTGGATGGAAGGTGCTATGAAATTTTTAGGTGCAGGGTGTACTCGTAGTACAAAATTCAGATAATGTGACATTCCAGAAGGGTAGCCGACTTTAAAACCCTCAACCTGTCAATATTGAAAGAAGTAGAAAAAATAATATAACAGTATTAAAAAGAATTATCGAACTTTGAGCAAGGAGTTCGATGGTGACCTTGGATTTGACGTCGAGCCTTACCTTCAAGGTTATTTCAAGGTCAACTTTTGTTTTTTAAATGAAAAGACACCTTTTTGACATCGACAACCGAAAGGATGGAAAATTTTATTTCCGAACGTGTAATAGAGTCACGTCTGAAGGAAAATTGAAATTCAAATTTTTTTAGGGTATGTAAAATAAGTATGTATCCTTAGTAACTTTCAATAAGGATTTCAGTATGGACCTTTGATTTGAATTTGAGCATTACCTTCAAGGTCATAGTATTACACGGGAATGTCATAGAGAGAGGTTTTCCAGCTAAAAATGCTGACCTTGAAACGACTTTGAAGGAGGGGTTATAGGTCGAGACTGAGGTGTGCCTGAGATACTTGTTACAAGTTATCACCAATGATCCTTTAAACTTCTGAGACTGTTCCCTAGCCTCACACATTTGACAGTCATTCGACCATCAGAGGCGTCCTTGACCTCGCATCCTAATACACATTTAGACACTCCACTCTTTTGGCTGGCAGTGACAAAAAAGTGAAACGTTTTGTTGTGACTAGAAGATTAAAAAACAACGTTAAATCAAGTTCACAATTTTCTAAAAATGTTGACATTTATCAAAGAATTATATGACTACATCCAAAGTGATCAGAAACATAAGAAACACCAGAATACAAATTTTTGGGATTTTTTACTTATTGCTCATAATAGCGCTGCTACATGAGTGATCTTCAATACCTATAAAGCTTTTTCGTTCTTAGATTTTTAACAGCCCGCACACTAATGCACAATTGTGCGCGTTTGATTAACACAACGAAGCTTTAAGGTTTTTAACGGATGTCTGGGAAGTATTTCGGAGCTTTTTCAACATTTTTTTTCATATTAATTTGCAGCGTTGAAAAAGGCATATTTTGCACTTTTTTAAATATTAAATCGCTTATACTGCCATGAGTGATCACCCTGTAGCGTATTACATAGGCGCCATGTAGGTCGACAGATATCCTAAACCGCACCCGTTGAGAAATGTGTACATCGTCGGCAAATAATGCATCATCTGCAAAGGTGTATCATTCGCCGCCGGTGTGGGTTCTATCGGTTTATAAAAACTGAATGAGTCACAAAAATTACCATGCGTAAACAGAGTTTTTGAAGCTTGTTTAAATAAATTGTTTTATCAATTTTTGATGCAATTCTGAGCCCTCTCTGACGAGAGATCTGAAGGTTATCACTGCTTGGGACACAGCAATCTGGTACAGTTGAATGCTTCTAAAACATAGCACTGTGCCTTGACTAACAAAAAGCGCTCATCCGGTTTCGAAGAATGTCTGAGTTCTACCCACTTCATTTCGGCTAGGCCAATGGTTAATAGCTATAAAGTACTGTTCTCCACATAGCCCCCCACATAGCCCCTCACTCATTATCACACATTATCCATTCGATCCATGATCGATGCTGTTCAGGGGAAGGCTGCCTGATAAAGCGATGACTTTTCTCTAACGAACAGTCTCTACCGCTGTCAGTGAGCTGTTCTCCTCAGAGCTCTCCTCCATGATGCCGCCGCGCGATGAGCATGCCAGGCAGACCCACCTGACTTCGACCTCCTAGCCTAGCCGTGTCAAACTTTGCACATCAAGACTTTCCCCCTGAGGTATCGAGATTGTGGAAAATCTACCTAAAGAGGCTGTTCTACTAACCTAAGGTTATTTAAAAATCGAATTAACAAAGAGCCTCTAAACGTAGATACGAAGATTCTACCTGAACTAGAAAAACTAATGGCATATGTTTCCCTAATGGGTATGTCCTGCAACATTCAAACAAAATCCTATCTTCATTTTGAGCTATTACAGTATTGTGTCGTCAATTGAGTGGAAAGTAAGGACTAGTAATTAGACTTTTGTCGCTTCGAGAAATTCAAATCAAAGTAAGTTTAAAGGATGATGTATAGATTCCTGCAGTTTTGGTGTAAATAAAATTAAGCTAGCTCATAATTTCTATTCCATTTAATAATAACAGCCATAAAATCATCACTTCAATCTTTCTTATCAAAATGTCATTCGATGTACTCTGTACACCCAGTCTTAATCTCATTAGTCTTATTCTGCTCAGCTAATTTCTTAACTAATTCGAAAACAGACTCACAGTCTAACCGTCGAATATCCCCAGCTTCTGTTATTTTCACCTTAGACACTATCTCGTATGGCAAATACGTAAAGTTATGGTTACCCGCTAGATCCAATGTTAACAGATCACTATGTAGAGCACTAAGAAGGTTTTTCGGCAGCTCTCTCAGTTGATTTTTTGACAGAAATATCACGTCGATATGCTTCATGCCTTTGAAGATGTCTCCGTTAAGCTCTTGAATGTTGTTTCTGTCTAGCATTAGTTTTCTGATAGTGTCAATCCCATCAAAAGCCTTAGGATTAATTTCTCTTATCAAGTTTTTGCTCAAGTATATTTCTAATTCTATTCTTCCACCTGGTAGATATGTTGCCTTGAGATTCTTGAATGCTCTTTCAGGAATAACCTGGATCTTGTTCCTTCTAAAATACAGCTGAGACAAGCGTGGTGTATTTTTGAACCACTCACCATTCCATGTCGAAATTTTATTGGCATTGAGTTTAATCCTGAACAAATTCGGCATATCATCAAAGGCTTCTGCATCTATGGTTTCAATTTGGTTCCTCTGGAGAAACAAGGTGCCAACATTGAGATTGTTAAACACACCTCTTGGTATACTTTCTATCTTGTTGTCTATCAAAGCCAGCGTGGTCAAGTTAGGTAGATTAATAAATGCACCAGGTTTCAGTACAGTGATACCACAAAATGATAGCTTCAAAGTAGATAGTTTGGTCAAGTTCCGCACACTGTTGCTCACCAAAATTGGAAGACGCGCACTGACCCTGAGATACTTGGAATCTGGAAACTGTTTGTTATCGATGTGTTCCACGTCATTCACTAGGGTCTTTGAACCCTTCTTGCTGGATTTGTACCATCCCTTTTTAAACAAAAGGTCGCTAGCTACCAAGGAGTTGATCAATAGCACCAATGCGATAACACGAATGCCAGGATTTTTATACATTTTGACAGTAAGTAAATATCAAGACTGGGTGCTGATTTATTATCATTATTAATTTAGTGCGCTGAGAAACAGAGACGCATTGAGGAATATTGGTAAATGATAATCCGTTTCGATTACTAGGCTTCAGTGACATAACATATTTACGGGGGTAATGTGAAAAGTTTTCGGGCCAATACAGACATGGCGCTGGCGCCCCAATCAGTTAAAATTCATAATTCCTGCATCTGTGTAGATTTCATTTATTCGTATGACAAATTTTGAACCTGCTATTTGTTTGGGGCTAAGAAGTACTTTACTCTACATAGCCTCCTCACTCTCCACAAGGCCCAGATAAGACCTTGCCTCGTATACTGCTCACATGTTTGGTGTGCTGTCGCCCCGACTACATTATCCATGCTCGCTGCTGGTCAATGACTCTTCTTTAACGGACAGACTCGAGACCCTTCCGCACCGACGCACAGAGGTCTAGATGTCTAGAACATCCACATAGCTGGGAAAAGGTCAAAAAAAAGTAATGGAAATGGATGAAATTCATCATGTATTTGAATGTTGATACATCGACAATTAGTTGGCCATCAAAACAAGACCTACACTACCTTCGCTATCACAGATCGTCAAACTTGAAGATTGTGGTAAGAAATTTGTTATAACTTTACGTTATCCACAGTCTTGTGTTTTGCAAAATCCAAACTAACTCAATATGAATTCTACTAAAGAAGCTAAGATATTTCATCTGATATATAATAAACATGTGTCCTAATTGTGGTATTCAAGTATACCCTGGCTTGAACATATCATTACTTTTCTGCAACCATTATTTGGACGAGTTTTTAGCAAGGTTCCACCCTTTGTCCCCAGTGGAGTTAATTATGTTCGAGAACCCTGAGGTAGTGCCAGATAAATAAATTGCAAATCAAAATTTTGAAATAAACAGGTCAAGAAAGGCTATGCGATACCCAAAAACCTTGCAACGTTTATATCAAAATTTAAAAATAAGATGCTGGAGTTCAGCCGAAATAAGTCCCTTTTTTTAATCAGATACAAATATTGGATCATCTGTACAATTAAATTTGCAAGGAAAATCAGCTTAAGAAAATCAATTAGTAAATGCCGAAATAAATCTAGATTCGCTGATAGTGCTGGAAGAACTAAAAGATTAAAAACTATCGAACTTCGAACCAGCACGAGCGCTCAAGATTTGACGTATGCAGCACAAATGAAATTAAGAGCAGAGGGAAATGAAAAAAGCAGCAAAATTAATAGAAGAACTATCTAACCAGAGATTCGTTCTTTCATGCCTCAATTTTTATGAAGCTTTTAAGTAGTGCTAAAGTCATATCGTATTTTCTTGTTTGTTATGTTTGTAATATAATATTTCTGTGAGTTTGGAGAAATTCAGCACTCACTATAATATTATAGTGATCCTTCTCCTATCAAACGTAATAATATCAACTTCAAGGATCCGACTCCATGCTAGATTCGCCATATGGAATTTCTGTTTCTTGACAGCAGATTTTAAATCAGCGACCTCAAATACCCTTCTGTACCAAATTTTGTGCTACAGAAGTTTTATTTTTGACAGTTTTTTTAGTGTCATGGACCACTGTGCGACGGGCCGTCGGCAACCTAGCTTTCTTCTACCGCTATTCCAATGCGATTTGCTCCTCAGAGCTCTCCTCCATGATGCCGCCGAGCGATGCGCCTGCCAGACCGACCCGCCTGACTTCGTACATCCAGAACCGACCGATACGGCCACTCCCTTGTCCCTAGGGTATTGAGATTGTGGAGCAATATACCTGAGGAAGCTTTTCTAAGTTCTACTAACCTTAGGCAGTTCAAAAACCGAATTAATAAAGTTTTTCAAGCTCCCAGTAGCGGCCGTAGTGTTCTAATAGTTATGCTTCTGGCCACGCGGCTGCTTCGGTATAAGGAAAGAAAAAGTTAGGCTATCTGTTTAAACTAGAAAGTACTATCTCATATAACCTTCTCGCTATGTGCAAGACAGGCCACTTTTTAAAGACACAGTCACTTAATGAGTCCGGGACTGTGGTTTATTAAGGTTAGCCGTAAGGTCGCACAAATAAGAGCTTATCGTTCAAAGGCGGCCACTGTTCATGTGAAGACAGCTGTGTACTGTACGTGCACTCGCTAATGTAGAAAAACTAGGATTTAATTATAAACACACCGATAAATTGGAATCCTACCACAGATATACATAATGTGTATTTTGTTTTTTATTTATCATAAATGTGGGAAATGAGGATGATATTATTTAATAAACAGCGGTTCATGATAAGGAGAATTTAAACTTCGATATCAATAATAACTGCTGATATAGATTACAATACAACGATGAATCTTTGTCAGAAGCAATGTAGAACTTCAGGCATTTTAATGTTACCCAAACTCTACTGAGACATTTTTGAATTTTGGACTCGGACGATATAATTAATATACATTGGTGGGAGGAGAAGTACAGTCAAATTACTTGAAAATGTTAATGTTGACTCTCATTTTAACCCCCTCGAGGGCTTCATTAAAGAAGTGTATTGAAGTTTAAAAACAAAAAACGTTTTTTAATATCTTCAAAACCGTCAACTGGAAAGAACTAAAATTTGGTATGTGGATTTACCTAAGTATTCTCCACATCCAAAAGTCTTTACCCAAAATTAACGTGCACTAGTGGTGGCAGGGGATTAGTGGCAATATTTTTCCAAATAAAAATAGTACGTTACTGTTTTTTTTTTTCGAAACGCACAATTTTTCAAATTTTAGCTTGTTTTTCCCTAGAGTGCACTGTTTCAGTAAAAATAAAAATAAAACAAATAGGACAATCAAAGGTTTATTTCAGTTAGTGTTATTGATTTTTGTGATCAGAGTAGATGCATGTATAGATATGAACATTCCCATAGCTATGCCTTCTATGGGTTTTTTATTTTGGTAATTTGCAACGTACTCGTAATTCAGGGATAAGTCAATGGCTCATTTTATATAATTTTTTACCCAAAATAAGTATCTTTTACTTCGAGTTTATAATTAAAATTGTTAATGAATGTATATGTAAAGTTAATGTTTTAACTCTCTCCTGAAGAAAGAAAAAAGTAAGGTTTTTTTAGCTGCCGCCATCTTTTTTGTGGACGCCATGTTTTGATTCTGTCTAACAAAGAGTTTTTACCGCTACGGCACAAGGTAAAGCATGGGCGATAAAATCACAGGGTTTATAGAAATAATAGTCCGCGAGCGGGTGATCCACTTGATTTTTTTTGTCCCCTTATGTATCAGAATATACAGGGTGTTCCTTAATGATATGCTAATATTCAAGGGTGTGAATCTACATGAAAAATTAATGTTAGTTTGTTTTATAAACTCTGGTCCAAAAATGCTTCCTTTTAAAAACTCGGGGTGTTGAAGTTTTAGGAAAAAAAATGGAAATTAATTAATATTTTCAGAACCACTTCAGATATTTCACTGATATTTAGTACGTAGCGAACGTTAATAAAGTTGCATATTTCTCAATGCACAAATAATTTTTAGCTTTAACAGTGGCGTGCATACGGGTATTGACTTCGATATTTTTCAAGAAAAAAATGGTACGCCAATGGTTTTTTGCCAATTAAAAATAATTTTTGAATTCAAAATTCATTTTAAAACAAATGATCTTTCTTGAGTTGCTTTTCTTCGATGCGCCATTTTTGAGGGAAAAATAAAAACCGTTCTATTGTCTAACAAAATTATTATTAATTTAATTGGAAAAATTAAACACATTAGGGGTAATGAATAACAACAAGTGACAACATAAACGTAACACTAAAACCAACAAAATGATTACAAAACTTGTTGAAAATGGCCCCCTTCACTTAGTATGCATGCTTCCGCCCTGTTTCTCATGGAATTGCGCACTCGTTGAAATATCCCTGGTGTGTTTTTTATTCTACCACAAGCTGCAACTATTCTTTCTCTTAATTCCTCTACAGCGTTAATGGGACTTGTGTACACTAGTGTCTTAAGATAGCCCCACAAAAAGAAATCTAAACTGTTGAGGTCTGGGGACCTTGGTGGCCATTCTTGGGGCCCACCGCCACCAATACAACGATTTGGATAAATAGTTTGTAAATAACTACGAACCGCTACACTGAAATGTGCTGGTGCACCATCATGCATGTACCATATTGTTTCTTATTACTAACGGAATATAATCAAGCATCAAAGGCAACTGTTGTTGAAGAAAATTGAGGTAAGTCTGTCCGTCAAGTCGTCCCGGCAAGAAGAATGGGCCAATAAAGTGGTTGCCAATAATTCCTGCCCATACGTTAACCGAAAATTGGTGTTGGAAATGGGTTTCGGTTACGGCATAAGGATTTTCTTCTGCCCACAAATGATTATTGTGGAAATTTTTGATAGCATTTCGAGAAAAATTAGCTTGTATGCCTGTACTCTTAAAATATGGTAAGGATATAACAAAAAATGTACTAAAATTCTCCAAACAATTTGATGGCAAATATTTAAGTGTCTAGCGATCTTCCTCGTACTCATTTCAGGATATTCTTCGACTTCGTGCAGCACTGCTTCTTCAATTTCAGGTGTTCTCACGCTTGAAGGTCTACCTTCAGATGTTCCTTTTCGGACAGAACAAGTTTCAACAAGACGACGATGAATATTATAAAAGGTTCGACTATCTGGCAAGGCACGATCGGAACATCTCTGGTGATAAATTAGTCTGGCTTGCTCACCATTAACGTCGGCAAGGCCATATACGTAATGAATTTCCACCATTTCTGCATTTGAATAATTCACCATGATTAACAAGATTGTAAAAACTAAATAATGGAAAAGTCACAGCCAACCGATTTGAACAACAAAGACTTGTCAGATGTCAAAAGCCAGTGACATATTCCAGAGAAACTAAATATTTACTGCTAAATTGCATTCTTCAGTTATTACATTAATTTTCTCTGACAATAGAACAGTTTTTATTTTTTTTACTCAAAAATGGCGCATCA